GGCTGAGGCGGTGAGAGAGCGCTCAATCCTAACCACTGGACTCCCAGGGCTAGCAACCCTGTAGGACAAGTTCAAACGGTTCCTTAGGGTTTCTGAGACTGCATCTTTAGGGGAGCAAGTGCTCTCTTCTTTCTCCCTCCAAGTGGCTGTTGGATTGGAATTGTCGACCTTTCCGTTCATTGTCTAACATGTAACCCAGGGTACCACCGGGTCTCCTAAACATCTCAACTGCCATCAAGCGGATGCTGATGCCGGTGACCCAAGAGGATAGAGCAGAGATGGTCGTGGGGTTTTCAAGGCGCTACGTCCGTATGAAACAGAGACAGCCGCATCTTTCTCCTGCAGAACAACTGGTGGGTTCGAACTGCTAACCTTGTGGTGAGCAGTCCGACAGGGACCCCATCGCAGCACTGGGGATCCTAACACCTCAAAATGAATGAGCCCAACCTGATGGATCCGGACAGTCCTAACGCACACACGCCTTAGGGCAGAAAGGGTGTAAAAGACCCCGTGGCTGTGGTAATGGAATTGAGCATCTCGAAGAGTGTGAAGACGGCATAGGGCTGGGCCAGGCCAGGCTTCATTCTGTTACACGTGGGGTCGCATGGGCCAGAGCCCAGTGGACGGTGGCAAACAGCAGCAGCATGACCCCGAGGTCCCCAGTCCTCGTTTGTTAAAGGAATGTATGATCCGAACAGGATCTGGCACTTATTAAGTATCTGCTGCCGTCCCGGCCCAATGTGAGTCATTTCCCCACTGCCATTTTTCACCAGCAGTGATGGCCACCCTCTCTGGGGCTTGGGAACTCCTGGGCCTCTCGTTTCTAGATGCCTTCAGTCTGTTCACATCAGTGGCCAGTCAGGGCTGGGCTCCTTGCCCGCCCGGTTTCTCTCCTCCCTTGCCTGTGGCCACTCTGGGGGTCACATGAGCAGTCTGGCCCTCATCTCTCTGACCTCTGGGAGACACTCCTGCAGAGGCCAAGACCTGGCTGCCCACGCGCTGAGATTCATTAGACCCGGCTTGCTCCGCTGCCATGTGAGTGACTATGATTCCCCGAACCTCTCCCAGCGCTTCCAAGCAGGCGGCTGGCTGCTCTGCCTGTGTTGTGTGCCAGCAGGCACTGTGCACTCACAATGCAGTGGCTTCTGGGGAACTTGGTGGTGCTGGCCTTGTCGTTCCTCAGCCCACTCCTCTGAGTCCGGCTCTCCTCGGTCCTCTGTGATGACCGCTTCCTCCTTTGTGTTTTCCTGAGAGCAGTCCTTGGACCACCATCTTCGGCCATGAGAGGAAGCCAGCCCCGTTTGCCATCACCACTGTCAGTCACCGCCAGGACATCACTGTGCCCCCCACCCCCACCCCCAGGAGCACAGAGCCCCGTGCTGCTGAAGTCATCGCTGGCCTTAAAGGATGGGCACATTCTGAGAGGCAATCTTGGGCTTTTGAGCCTGGGATGACCTCATAATCAGAGAGTATATGAGTCTCAATCCTTCCTGATCCCAAACCCAGAGCAGAGCAGCTCTGGACACGAATCCACCACCTCCTGCATTTGCACCATGCTCAGAGCGGGTGCCCCCTTCACACCATCTACGGCACTGACCCCCCAAACACATGAGCAGGCCAGGTACCAGCACCCTTACGTTGCAGATAAGGAAACAGAGGCCTTGGAAGGAGTCAGATTTGCCTGAAGTCTTAGGTAACCGTGGAGCAGAAGTAGAATTGCCCCAGTGGGTTTCCAGGGCTGTCACCTTTATGGGAGCTAGTTTAGCAGATCAGCACTTAACGACTGAGCCACCAGGGCTCCTCTTGATGGCCCTGACAACTTGAGAGTATTCCACAAACAATGCTTATTGAATGGATGCTCAAACCGTAGAGGACAACGAGTTCAGGGCTTCTGGCTCCCAGCACAAGGACTTCTTGCCCCACTCCTTGCCAGCCTGTGCTCTCTCAGCAACGGCTAAACATTATCGGAAGTCAGGCTGCCTAGGTTCAAACTCCCTCTACCTGGCTGAGGTAGTGACCTTGAGCATGGTATATGACCTCTGCTGAGTTTCCTCTTTGTCAAAATGCAAGATAATAACAGCCCTGCTTCCCTGCATTGTGTGAAGTGAGGAAATGCCTGTACGGCGGCAGCAACTACTGTCTGGCCCCCGTGAGACTGTTGCTCATCACTGTTGGGTGCCCTCAAGTCAGCTCTGGCTCAGCGAGCCAATGTACAATAGAAGGAAACGCTGCCTGGTCCTGCGCCATCCTCACCACTGTTCTTATGGTCGAGCCCATTGTGGTAGTCACTGTGCCCGTCCATCTCATTGAGAAGCTTCCGCTTGTTCTCTTAAATGTTAGTGCCAGCTATGAAGGCTCAAGGGTAAGGCTGGGCTGGATGCCTCTTTCTCGTCCCAGGACCTAGGACAGCGACAGGCACAACAGATTCTCGGACTCAAGACACTTGCTTATCAAACTGAAACTAATGTGGCCACCAGCAAGTCCCTTCTTCTTTCTGGGCCTCAGTTTCCCCACTTGTAAATTGAAGGGATGAACTAGGTCAGTACCAAAGTTCTTCCCAGCTCTACAATGTTGTATGTAACTCGCCTGTTCTCAGTGGGAGTGAATCCCCAGGTTCCACTTAGGATTCTACAATGCACTGGACAGCCCCCCCCAACAAAGAAAAGGGCAATCATGGCGAAGCCAAGAACCCCGGGTCCAATCCTTCACAAATACCCCAGAGGCCTTTGATTTGTTAGGCTAGTGCCCCTTGTCCCATAGCTTGCCAAGCTGGAGAGGGAGCGGAGTGACCGACTGATTGCCCCTTCAGCTGCCACCAGCCACCCTTGCCACATTGATCTCGCTGGGGGAGAGGGCAGCCTGGCTCAGGCATCTTTTAATTTAGCAGTGAACTCACTCCTGCACATCACTAAAGCCCCAGATGGGGATGCCTCTGCCAGGGATGGGTGGAGAACAGCTCTGTGCCCAAGATGCATGGGACATGGGCTTGTGGACCCAGGACCCATCTCAAGAAACGCTGCCATTTTCCTGAATTTGCCTCCCCACCTCTGGCTCCCTTTCTCATATCTTAAGTCCCACCAGCCCCTCTCCCCCTCCAGAGGGCAGGTCAAGTCCTCCGATGATGAAAGAGCGGCCTTTGGGAGAGGACATTTGGCCAGAGGTATGCCCTGGAGTCTGCTGGCCAACTAGCCTGGTTGCCCACAATAGGAGGGGTTGGTCTCCTATTTGTCTCCACCCGGGGAACCCCAGCTCACTTGTTTCAAGGCCCTAAAGAATCTAAATCACCTTTTGCTGTTGCCGGTGCTGCCAGTTTTCTTTACCTTCTGAGTTCTCTTTCCCAGCCCCACCCTTCCTGACTGAGTTTTCCGTGGGGGTTTCCTGGAAAGAACATGAATGCAGAAGCATGTCACTGCTTGCTTCCTGTCTCTGCTTCAGTGTTCTCATTGATGAGATGGGAATTCACTTGATGACCATGAGTGCAAGGAAATCAACATGGGGAAAGACTGTAAACAGCCCAGAGCTACCCACACTTGAGAGGCAGTTTCGTCTTCTTGACACATGCTCTGCAGGAAGAGGGTACTGGCACACCGGAGCGCCACACTCGGCGCTTTTATGGCTGCAGATGGGATTCCCAGCCTGTGCTCAGGAGCCCCCACGCTGAGCATGCAGGCACCACAGTGCATGCCTGAAGACCTGGCAAGCAAGAACGGCACTCCCCGGTGCTGCCAGACTTGGTGGAGTGGGAAGAAAATGTTGCTGGGCAAACACCTCTAGGGTGGCCTGTGGCCGGATTTGCCACCAGCCCTGCCCACGGTTGGGTGGCCTTTCCAACTGGACTTCATGTGAGAAAGAGGGTTGATACCACAAGGCTGCTCATTCCCAACTGCGGGCAGCCCACAGCTCTGACGTTCGTGATTTCTGGTAAGCAGACAAAGAAGTACTTGGCAGCAGGGCCCTCTGAGCCAGCCTCAAGATGCTTTTCAGATGGAAGGAGATACAGGTGAGGCCAGGTCTGGGAAGAGCATCCCTCTGTTACCAAGATTTCATTCTGACCGGGATTGCAGTAGCTTATAGTTCTTTTAAACACAACTAAGTACAGATGGATCAGCAAGAAGATGGAGAGATGACAGTCAATAAATTACTAAAGGACCATAGTACACGCCTGGAAAAGCACTAGGGAGGGTCTCCCCCAGCACGCCAAGGGGTGGAGGATGGGTACCAGTCATTGTTTGGGTGAGTCACCTCTGAAAAGGTGTTTGATTGCTTAGCAGAAAAACTAGAAATGTGACATCTTTCTCCTGTGGACACGCTACAAAGAATGATCCCTCAGCCCTGCCTGTGATAAAATAACTAGATCCGGTGATCCTTAAAAACTGGGTCTGTGGCACAATATTCACAAGTTTCCAATGTCACTCCTTCTAGTGGTCCTATGGAGCTAAGGGAATTTCACTGAGATGGTTGCTAGGTGCACCTTCTGGGGCGGTATAAGCCTTTGAGGCTCTAAGGCCAACCTCTCTTCCAAGAGCGACTGAATTGGGAGAGTAGTGGTATCCACTGACCAAGGATTTGGAGTCCACAGTTCTGTAGGACCTGCTTAGATTGCCACAATAGGTTGTCTTTTCTCTTCCTATCCAAGTTCTGCTGGTAGAACCCAGTTTCCAGCATATTAAATTACTTTTATTTCTGCCTTCAATGCTCCCCTTAGAGATTTGCTTCTTGGCTCCATCTGGCCTTTGGGAAATGAATATCTTTTAACATCCACTCATTAAATGCTTACTCTCACAGCTGGTTCTCCGACCTCTGGAAAGATAGCGGTCAGGGAGACCCACAGATCAATGCACCAGACACTACCCTGGGACTATTAGCAGTAATAGCTCAATCTGGACCCTACCCATGAAAAGACCACAGTTAGTTTTAAGTAGACACCTCAGACTGGAAATGTGCAGCCACAACCCAAATCATCATTCAGAAAATCAGTCCTGGGGCTGGAAAAGACTTACCCATGCTTCCCCGGACTGGGCACCAGGAGGATCTCTCGTCCAGCCTCGTTGTGGGGTAGCAGCTGGGCCACGTACCTCCCGGAGGGCTGCAGGTGCCTGTGCACTGAGACGGCCAGCGTGCAGTGCTCGCTGCTGCTCCGCATCCAGGGGCTGAGGATGGTGTGCTTGGAGTTCGCGGAGGTGTTGAGGAGGAGGAAGGAGCCTGGGGAAAGAGAGGGAAAGCGAGGATGAGTCCCTGTGCAGCAGTCCTGTGGCAGGGCTCCAAGGCCCCAGCACGACAGCTCGTGCTGCCAGACAGGGCTCTCTCCCACGATGTGCATAAGCCAATCCCTTTACCGTCTTTCTTCTCTTTCCTTTGTGAAAAGCAGAACTTGAGGCAGAAGGGTGGAGACTTGGGAACAAGGGCTTCACAATGAAGCAGATTAAGATCAGCATTTCAAAACCAGAGCATCTCCTCTGGAGAAAGATGGGGTTTTCTCCTCCTAGAAGGAGTCACAGTGTCAGAATCCCAGGGGCAGTTCTACCACGTCCTATCGGGTCACTACAAGTGGGCATCTGCTCGATGGCAGTGAGTGAGGTTTTAGTTTTGGGGGGTTTGGTCTTCAGGAATTCCACCACTTACTAGCATTGTGCCCTTGAGTCTCCAGTTCTTCATCTATAAAATGGGGATATAAATCTCTATTTCTGGGTGTGTTTATGGAGAGGATGTGAGATAATGCACGAGAGCACTCCACACCATTTTTTGGCAGAACGGAGGCATCCAGTAAATCATGCTTTATTTGATTTAGACGGACTGATCTGCGTGAAGTGGAGATGACAACTCATAGATCCTTTCCCAGTCAATGAGCGCAATTGACCAAGTCCCGGGAAAACGTGTGAAGAACAGACGGGATGGCCTAAATCCCAAAGAGTGAACAGAGTGAGAAACTCAGCCAGGCACCAAGAACACCAAGAAATTTATACCTGGGTCTTGGGAACAGGCTAAAGAGGCAAAGCCCACCACCCATGGGTTCCATGGTGCTACAGCAGGAGTGCTCTTGTTACCATAGGAGGGGGCTTCAAAAGTGTGTGGGGTAAAGGGAACTGGAAGATAACTGAGTTTTCCACAAGCTTTCTGAAGCCTCTCGGATGTGTAGTATATGCCTGTCGTTGGGATGCATTGACAGGTCACGTCTCATTCAAAGATTGTCCCTGGACAAGAGAACAAAATGCTGCCGGTTCCAGTACCGTCCTCTCGATGCCGGGTATGGCCCAGCCTCCTGTTGCAGCCCCGGTGTCCACACATCTCAAGGGGGGCGGGGCGGGCTTCTTCTTCACCGATCTTCTACTTTACAGACATGGTCTACTTCTCTAAGGTCTGGTCCCACCTGTTACCATGCCCCCAGCATGTGAGATCTTGTCTCCTCCCCCTTCTAAGCTGCATTCTAGTTGAACTTCTTCCAAGACAGGTGTGTTCCTTCTTCTGACAACCCACAGTCGATTTGGTATTCTTCACTTAGGTCTTCATTCCAAAGCATCGGTTCTTCTTTGGGCTTCTCTAGGCATTGCCAAGATTTTTCATGCACATGAAGCACAGGAATGCACCATGGCTTGCGTCAGAGACACCTTAGTCCTCATTGCGAGATCTTCACTTTTAAAACAAAGTATTTTAAAAAGATTGTTTACATCTCAGTCTCCACAACCCTGAACCAGAAGAACTAGATGGTGCCCAGCTACCATTATCAACTGCTCTGAAAAGGACCACATTCGATAGACAGGGAGAGAAATGTGGTGCAAACTGACAATCATAAAGAGAGCAGGTCTACTGGTCTCATAGGGACTGATGGGATCCTCAGCATTATGGCCTTTCGGCACTCTTTAGGCCTGCAAGAAAACCCATGCCTGCTTTAGGATAGTCAATTATTTAATATCAAAATGGAAACATTTACCCAAGGACAAAACCCAGAGGATAAGGAGACAAAGAGGAATGGAGATAGGAAATACGAGGGGGTTGTGGGAATTGTGATGGTACATTGGTGGAGGGAATTGCAAAAGATAAAGTATTAGGAAATATGTCCGCGTTGTTGAATGTAAAACTATGATTTGCTTGGTAAACCTTCACCTAAATTACAATGAAAAGATTAAGCAAATAAAAGAGAGATCGTTTGCTACAGATATGCTCAATGGTATGCATCATTTAATTCTTTTTTCATTGTTTGATTTCTTGACTGTTGCTTTCATAGACAGGGGTTGTGGATCTATGTAAGATGAAGTCCTTGACAACTTCATTATTTTTCTACATTAATCAGAATGTTGCTTATTGGCTCATTTCCCCCTCCCCCTTTGGTTCATTTTTGTTTTCTTCATGTTGAAGTATAATCCATACTGAAGATCTAAAGTCATCATCAGTAAATGATTCCATTCCTCCTAACTTCAGGCCAACGTGAATGCATCATCGGTATAGCTCAGGCTGCCAAGGAGTCTTCCCTCCAATCCTGATGCCATGTTCTTTTTCACATAGTCCAGCTTCTTCATTTATTTGTTCAGCATACAGACTGGATACATGTAGTGAAAGCATGTGCCCTGATTCATATCATTCCTGATTTTAAATCACACATTACCCCCTGTTTGAGCAACTGTCTCTTGGTCTATGTACATGTTTTGCATGAGCACAATTAAAAGAGTCCTGGATTTCTCATTCTTCATGGTGTTATCTATAATTTGTCACCATCTTCACAGTCATATGTCTTTACATAGTAAAATAGAGGTAAATACCTTTATATTACCATCTGCTTTCAGTCAGGATCCATCTGACGTCAGCAATGATAACCCTAATTCCATGTCCTCTTTTTGAATCTGGTTTGACTTTCTGTCAGCTCTGTTGATGGACTAATGCAACTTATTTTGAGTTCTTTTCAGAAAAACTTTACTTGTGTGTGATACTTAGGATATTCAATAATTTCTACATTGCACTGAGTCACTTTTGTTCGGAATGGGAACTCAGTGGGTCATACAGCTGTGTCCTCAATTTCTTGGCACAGAAGGGATAGAATGTTCAGCATTGCTCCAGTGTCTTGAAACACCTCAGGTGATAGTGTCAATTCCTAGAGCCTTGTTTTTCTGCTGATGCCTGCCAGGCAACTTGGGCTTCTTCCTTTTATGCCATCATTCTTGATCATACATTACCTCCTGAAATGATTGAATGTCAGTCACTTTTTCCATCTTCTTTTGATGCTTCCTGCATTATTCACTATTTTGCCCACAGAATTCTTCAATATTACAGCTTGAGCCTTGAACTTTTTTTCCAGTTCCTTTAGTGCTACAGCCTGCAAATGAGTACACTTGGGGCATCTTGGACCACCCAACAGGCCACAGCTGAAATGAGATCTGACTTGCCATAGGCAGATCATTTCCAAGAGATGTGGGGTTCAGTGGATGTCCATTGAACAATTCGGGGTTCTCCAGGAATACATGTTTCCTCTAGACTTTTGAAAGGTATGACTAGTTCAGGAGTTTTTGAGATAGGTAGTTTTGAGTGGATCATCTCAGTCATTTACGATGTTCTAACGAGCATGGATTCTGGTCCTTGGCTTACTGAATGTTGCTACACAAAGTGTTAACTTGCTTAGATTTAAGTTTCCTTATTTATGAAATGGGGTGAGCATTGTTGACTAAATGCAATCATCTCTAAGATCCATTCCTGCTCTCTGAGTCCATAAGTCATGTGGATTTCTAACTGGTGTTCACAACAAAGCCCTGCAAATCCCCCTTTCACCAGGCCGGTGGCAGAGTTTTCCTCGGTGGCAAGGCAATCCTAATTCCAGGAACATAGGTCAAGGGACCTACAAGAAACCTGCATTCATAGGGATTACTGTTAGTATAAAGTCACAGCACCATTTTATGGTTCCAGGCATTCCCTCTGGTGCATTGATTTTATTTGCTATATGTTTGCGTTGAAGCTTTGGAAGCTCAGATGCTGCTGCTTCTGCAGTGGAAGCCTATTCCAGGAAGATGCTTGACTTCCCCAATGGGGAACAGCTAATGAGTGCTCAGTCTTCTTACAGGGCCCTTGGCATCTCAGATTAGTCTCCTTCTGCTGATAACCCAATTTACCAGATAGGCTAAAACATGAAAAGGAAAGAAGCACAAAGAAAACTGATGCAAAAAAGAAAGGGGATTCCTATGAGAAGTAAAGTGTTTTCCAAGGAGAAATGGTATTGTGGCAGGAACGGAAGATTTGCAATATTCTGAAAGTATGTAAAGGTGGCTTAAAGTTATAATCAGGAAAAGTTCAGCACAACATTGCTCAGACTGGATTGGAAACGGAAACTTTCATAATTGGGGGCAAATTAAGCATGGGAAAGGGGCATTTTAAAAATGCTCTACAGGCCTTAGTAAATCATCTACAGTATGGCTCTATTTCATTCCAGGGAAAATGTTCTTCTCATGGACACTGACACAAAGGAGAGAAGTAGAGTTAAAGGCTCAGAATTGTAAAGGAGAAACAGCAAATTCTGATTATAGAGGAATGAATACGCAAACCTTCATGCAATAAAATATTAGGCGCGCCTCCATCAAAAACAATGATGGCCCTGCGAAACACCACAAGACATGGGCAATCCTGGGGAACACTGTGCCTAGCAAAGTGAGCCAACCTGATCATGACAAATACTGAATGACACCCATCTGATAGGAAAAAAGAAAGCCAACAGGAAAGTGACTTTCACACCAAAGAACAAGAGTTTGAAGACTAGGAGGAGGACAGGGGCTGGAGAGGAAGTGGAGAGAGCGGGACAGGAAATGGCGGAGGGGAAGGAGAAACACATGATGGGGAGGGCACTAAGATACTCTTACAATACTAATATAGCTAGCTAGCTAGCTAGCTAGATATAAATAGATATTTTAATGAAGGATTACAGTCTTACAAAACATTCCAGAGTTCTTACTCCACTCTGAAAATTGGTCTGAATAGCTTTAAAAGAGGAAATGTAAAACCAAAGCAGACTTGGATATTTTAGTGACCTACAAGTTCATTCCAAATTATTGTTGTTGCTAGGTGCTGACCCATAGTGACCCTATGCTCCCCGGACTGAAACACTGCATGGTCCTGCCTGGCCGTACACTTGTTCCTTTGCTTGAATCCATTGTTGCAATCACTGTGCCAATCCATATCATTGAGGGCCTTCCTCTTTATTGCCACCCCTCCACTTTACCAAACACAAT